ATGATTGCTGCTTCCGCTGCTTGACGTTTGACGCTTGCATGTGAATGCACCTTTATTCCTTCTATTGTGTGCAGGGCCTGCACACAATAAAACAATGGTTGTGTTCCGATAGCTGTGTTGAAAATTTTCTTTTTAATTACAAGGTTGGTAGCGCTATAACTAAATTACTTAGCTGTGTTCCGTAAGGGATCAACTAACACCGTAGTTTGCATTTACTTTATCGGCTTGTCCAGGAAAGATTGTCCAGAAAATTTTTACTTTTATAATATATAGTTGATTATTTATTATTATATATATTTATTGAAATATGATTTAAGCAATATTGGACTGATGAGAATAAATTTAATTAAATAAAAAAATCTTATATTCGGTCATGCAATTGTAGAATCAGAATGTTATAAATTCACGAAGAATTATGTATTTAATATTAAGATCCGCTTTGATCGAATATAGGATAAAGTAAATGCAAACTACGGTGTCAGCTGATCTCTTACGAAACACAGCTATGGGTGTATTCCGAATCAGGTTAGCTTAGCTTATTTTTTCCCCAAGATGTTGGCAGTTCCGTAACTAAACCGAGAAGTGTTCTGAACGTCGGCTGTCATAACTCGTAACCAATAGAAGCCAGTAGCTGAGTTCGACGGCCGATGGGTTCGGAACATTTCTCGGTTTAGTTACAGAACTGCCAACATCTAAGGAAAAAAATAAGCTAAGCTAATCCGGTTCGGAATACACCCTATGTTAGTTATAGCGCTACCAACCTTGTAACTAAAAAGAAAATTTTCGACACAGCTATCGGAACGCAACTCTGATTGACATATTTCATTAGATCTAATAATATAGACCAAACAGGTACAAGAGCTGATTGAGCGCTCAGTGAGGACAGTGAGCGGTTGTGCTTCTGGATGCACCTTATATGTATACCCTACATAACCGTGATATTTAATAACTTATGATAATACATACATGAAAATGTGTTTAACTTTTAAAGACACATTTTTAGGATATGTGCACATTGATCAAGTGGATCAAGTGTACTTTTCTGATTTTCGCTATACTATTATAAAATTCCAAATAAATTTTGTACAATGTACTTGCAAGTATCCTTATTTTCTATATTCTTTAACATCTTTCCGTTTTTACTGAATGGGACGGGTAGAGATTCATTAAAAATTATCACTTCGTAAAATAATATAATAGGAAATTTTATTCATTTTATGGAGCAGAAAATCTCCTCTAGATTTCTGTGCAGAATATTCGAGTTTTCTGCGCATAATATTTACGCATAATATGTACATTATTATGCATACCCAACCCTGATCCTTCCACCATGGACAGATAGATATTGGAGACATTGGCTGCGTTCAGCAGAACGTTTGTTTTGCAACTGTTGGAAGTTTCCTTCGCGCTAATTGAATCATACTTTTAGATCTAGAAGAATGGTCCTATCTCAGCAGACAATCATAAAACGGTTGCAAAACTGTTGAGTCTGCTGAACGCAGCCATTGGGTGCATTCAGTACTACAATCGCTCACTGAGCGCTCAGTGAGCGCTTGCATCTTATTGGCATATTCCGTTAGAACTAAAAATATAGACCAAACAGATACAAGAGCTCACTGAACGCTCAGTGAGCTCTTGTATCTGATTGGCACATCCCGTTAGAACTAAAGATATAGACCAAACAGATTCAAGAGCTCACTGAGCGCTCAATGAGCGGTCATAGTACTGAATGCACCCATTGACAGTCACCTATGGCCCTTCCAGTATGTATGTCTAAGGTATTCCGTTACCCCGGGTTTACAATAGGGTTTTAAGCCTAAAGCGGGGAGCACAGACTTTTGCATAACGCATAACATGTAATGCATAAGAAATTCAATCAATCAGAATTCTTTATTTCATGGAAAGGAAGGAAACGGAGGGCTTTGATTGGTACATTTTCTTATGCATTACGTGTTATGCGTTATGCAAGAGTCTGTGCTCCCCGCTTTAAGCCTAATAAGAAATGGGCGAATCGATTATTTCCCTTGGATTCGACTGTAATTGGTCAGTTTCTTAAAGCTTAAGGGCCATGGCACACAAAAAAACTTAAGTAGTAAAACATAAGCAGTAAGCGAATTGACCAATCACAGTAGAGTCCATAAGGCCATAACATAAGCAGTAGCGAATCCAACATGTTGATTTCCTTACTGTTTACGTCTTACTGCCTTAAGTTTTTTGTGTGCCAGGGCCCTAAGTCTTAAAACACCTATTGTAGATCCGGACTTAGCGGTTGAGATTATGTGTGTGACCTGTGTTATGGGCTGCGCAGAATAAAAGGAACAGAGAATAAGAATTTTAACCTATCAGAAATCACGTATTGTGAAATACACAATTTCTGATAGGTTGAAATTCTTATTCTTTGTTCTCTGTTCCCTGTTCCTTTTATTCTGCGCAGCTCCTTACACAGCCTGCGTAAATAGCTATAGTCACAATAAGTTTGTTCGCGTCGCAAACTCCAACATGCTCCAACATGCTCTTAGGCCAGAATCAGACTACGCATTGAAGATTGAGATTGAAGATTGAAAGATTGAAATTTAACCAATAAAAACAATAGGAACTAAAATTTCTTTGCCCTCATTGGTCAAATTTCAATCTTCAATCTTCGATCTCAATCTTCAATGCGTAGTCTGATTCCGGCCATAGTGCTAATAGCTCCTACTCACTCTATAACTGCTTTCCTTTTACACACAAGTGAAACTGAGTCCGAAGTGAGCTGAGTATTTCAAACTCAGATAATGACATCATTATTCAGTATGTAAAAGGAACGCGCTGAAATGAGAAATTCTCACTAACCTCAAATTAAATAATAAAAGGTATAATCAAAGGTTAGGTTCGTATTCTAAATAATCACCAATTATTTATTAAAAATTACAATTCTTTTATCAATTTATTCTTGCTTTTTTGATGAAAAAGTTATCGAATGTACATAGGTTTATAACCTCACTTTGAAGTGAGTTTACGAGACTCACGAAAGCACACGGTTTCGATCTTGTGCAGATTATGGGGAAAAACTCAGTTGAACCTCACTTGTCAGAATGCAAAAGGAACGCGCATTCAACTGAGTTATGACGTCACAAGTGAGAATTATCTGAGAATCGGTGTAAAAGGAAAGCAGCTTATGGGTGCATCCAGTACTACGATCGCTCGCTGAGCGCTCAGTGAGCTCTTGAATCTGTTTGGTCTATATTTTTAGTTTTAACGGAATATGTCAATCAGATGCAAGAGCTTACTGAGTGCTCAGTGAGCGGTTGTAGTACTGGGCCTTTACTCCGGATCTACAATAGGGTTTTAAGCCTTAAGCCATAAGAAATGGGCGAATCACAGTCGATTATTCCCCTCGGATTCGACTGTAATTGGTCAATTTCTTACGTCTTTAACCTATTATAGATCCGGACTTAAAGCCTTGTGTCCACGATGCTAGAAATTGGTCCGAGATCTCGGATGAAGAAAGAATTGACCAATCGCATTGATCATGTGACTAAATTGTTTAAATGTGATTGGTTAATTCTTTCTCTCTCCGAGATCTCGGACCAATTTCTATCATCGTGGACACAAGGCTTTATTCTTGAAAAGTATCGCATACGATAAACTAGGGAAATACTATAGTGCACGTAACATGTGCTATAGTATTTCCCTAGACTTTCGTATACGTTTCTTTTCAAGAATAGACCCCCTGGGCTGCGTTCAGGAATTACGCCTAGATAATTCTAGTGTGCATATTTGCTATAATATATGTAACGTAACCTGTAGCTTAGAGTTATCTGGGTGTAATTCCTGAACGCAGCCTTGAATGCACCCTATCAAGCGCGTTGGAGTGAGCTATGGTAGGAGCATATTGGAACATGTTGAAGCGTGCGACGTGAACAAACCTAATATGGCTGCTTCACTTAAGAGGGGATAACCAATCAGAATACATATCAGACTGCCAATCAGAAACTCGAACGTCAATGTCTCTTTATATATATATATATATATATAT